GCCGTTCCATTTAATGGAGCTACACAACTTCCTGCAGCTCCCCTCATTGTGCTGCCAGTATGCTGGGGATCAAAACAAGCATTGACTGCCCAGCTCACTCAAAGGATCTGTGCGTTTTATTGGTCGGGATGGGAGAACATGCATGGTCCTTGCTCTTTTGTCCACCTTTATGGATGTTTTGTCCACCTTTATGGATGTTAAGATAGTGTTTTCCCTTGGATTGTTGAAGCATATGAATAGAAATTGTTTGCCAAGAGGGAAAAAATTTAATTCGCTATAGATTGTAAATCTGTGGTGGATTTGAGGGTTTGGGATTTCTCACTTTTTATTTCCCTCAACTCTCATGATTAACTATGCCATAAAGAGCTGACTTGTCCTTCTCCATAGATTCTGGTGTTATATGAGGTAAATTTATTGTGAGACTCTGCAGACTTGTGATGTGGACTCCTGTAGGGACATTGTACCCTGTACAGTCATCTTACTCTGCAAACTGTTTAAATCCATTCTTCCTTTAAAAAACAAACCCCTTAGTTACTGTAAAAACTGTGTCAGCATTTCAGTGAGAAGACTATAAGTAATAAAATGTAAATGTGCTGATAAGATCGGTCAGATACAGTTCTCTTTTATTTATTGACATTGTAACTTGAATGTTTCCTTAATAGAGTCCATATTAAAATAAAGGCTGTGGTGCTGCATCACTGGAAATTTCATGGAGACAGTGTTTGTAGGAAGAGAAAAAACTTTTATTAGACAAAAAGATTAAAGTGCTTGCCTGAGGAATTGTTTATCTAGACATTAACTTAAATATCCTTTTTATGTGAAAACCAAGCTAAAGCGGTTCAAATGAAATTCAGGAGAATTATCTTTGGAAAGGGATTTTAATTGCCATTATAAGGGTAACAGAATCATGTTGACTTGGATATAATACAGCATTGACAATGTATTATATTCCACTCTGTATGGGTTTTGTTGATCTGCTAGAGGAGATTGGGACCACAGAAGCCAGCAATCTAAAGTCTGGTAATCTCATAAAGACATGCTGTTTTTCTGTGCCAGTAGTAATCTATAATTCATGGAAGAAGTGAATGAGCAAGCAGGTTTCTGTCAATCACAGTCTCCCTTTCCTCATGTTATTCTCCAGCATTCCCAGCCTATCTCAGTATGCACTCAGCAAAACTTCAGAAATTGAGACAGGTGCTACTTCCCTCAAGGCTTATCCAGAACTGGTCCATTAATAAATGCAAATGTGATTAGTTTATTGTCTCTCCCCCCCCCATCCCCCCCCCACCCGTAAATATATTAAAACTTAATTTTTGATTAGTCATATGCATTGCT